CCTTCTTAAACAAGTCTCCATTCAAGAAGGCATTGTTGACATCTAGCCGAACCAAATGCCAATTATTACATGCTGTGAGAGCAAGAACTTTGACAGTTACAATCTTTGCCACTGGAAAATGTATCAAAGTAGTCAAGCCCCTATTGTTGTGTATAACCTTTAGCAACAAGGCGAGCTTTATGTCTTTCAATTGTTCCATCTGATTCATATGTTATCTTGTATATCCATCGACAACCCACATAGTATTTACCGATGGTAAAGGTACAACAAACCATGTATGATTCAGTTCCACAACATCAAGTTCAAGTTTTATGGCTGCACACCACTGACAATATTTTTACAACTTGATGCTAAAAAATTGGTTCTACTTGGGTAATATCAAGTGTTTGTGATTGCGAGATAACTTGTCATACAATAGAAAGCAACCAATGTTGTGTGGCAATCGAAATGAATGATTGAAATTTTGAGAAATCATATTACAATGATAATCTTTGAGATATTGTAGAAGTTTGATAACTCTCAGTAATTTTTTGATGTTGATAGTTGGAGAAGGATCAACACTTGGTGTGATATTTGAATGATCAATAGTAGGTTGCAAGGCGAGAGATGATTCTTCGAGAGATAATGTATAAATGTTGATGGGTGGGATAGAAACAGGGATATGGTTACCTAGTTCAATAATAGATAATGAAGGATTTGGTAGAACTAACTCAGGAAAGGGATCCGTAAGATGATTAGCAATTATTGTATGAAAAGGAAAAATACTTTCATGAAATGTGACATCTCTTGATGAAAATATCTATTTCGAAACAACATCATAGAGTTTGTAGCCTTTAACTCTTGATGGATATCCCAGAAATACACACAATCTAACATGTGGTTGAAATTTATTTCTGTAAGCAGACAAAGTGGAAGAAAACGCCAAGCAACCAAAAACTTCAAGTGCAGAGTAGGCTGCTAGCTTATTATACAAGATTTCAGGGAGTTTTGTGTTTCAAGAGAGGATATGGGGTTCTATTGACCATAAAAGTGGTTGCCAATACACATTCAAACCATAACTTAATTGGAACTCTTGATTAGAAATATAAGGTTCTTGCAATATTTAAAAGATGTTGGTGTTTGCACTCCACAACAAAATTCTGCTGTGGTCTTTCAACACAACTGAACTAATATAGAGTGCTTCTTTCATCAAGGAATGCTGTGAGGGCCAATTCAAGGGCATTATCTGATCTAAAGATCTTGATTTTGGCACTGAACTGCATTGTCACCATATTGAAGAACCTTGGAATGACATTTGCTGCATCTGACTTATGTTTTCACATATTAAAGATATAGATACAGGATTTGTATACATTTGGTAGTTAAATGATACTGTTAGTTTTAGTCAGTTAGGTAGTTGAGTTGTTAATTAGTTTTTTTTATGACTGTAGATGTCTGGACCAACTTACGTGCATCTCAACTAATTCCATGGGGCTTTGAAATTTGCAATTAGGTACTTATCTCAGTGACCCTGAAGGAACTAACTGGTGACCATTGGAGAGCAAACTTAAGGTCTGACCACTAAGACGCCTCTCAGGGTTGTCGAGTTGTAATTAGTTGCCAATTATATGTTTCTATATTCTATTTATATAGATGTTGTAATTCATTTTTCGTCAAGTTGAATAAATGAGATTCTTTCCTTTACAATTTAGCTCTCGAATCTAATATGGTATCAGAGCTATTCCTTCATTGCTTCTTCACAAATCTAGTCAATCTGCTACTTAATTTGATTCTAATATGGAGTCTTTACAATCCTAATATGGTGCCATCTCGCTACTACCACAAACCACCATTAGCACACAACCACCACATACACAAATCAATACGACCATCATCATCTATAATGCATCGCCACCGCCATTACTTGTACCACCATTATCACTACATGCACTATAATCCACTACCACCTCCTTCAATCCACCAACTCGCCACCATAATCGCACACCACATCCACATCAAATATAAATTAACACCACCAACATCATACTCCACCACAATTCACAGATTTGTAAAACCACCATGTATATTTGCACCACCACCACCCTACAGCCCTGCACCACAATCTCACCCAGATCTTACAATAGCATCACCGTGTAAATCTGCACCGATACAAAGTCGCAAGCACCAGAGCTATCACACAACCACCGCCAAATAGCTTCGATGAGATTGAGAAAGGGAATGTGCATGTATGTGTGGAGATAATACTGTAAAACAATTAACATTAACCAATTATTATTTGGAATCCGAAAGAATATAGTGTGCAATTATTATTTGGAATCCGAAAGAATATAGTGTGCAATTATTATTTGGAATCCGAAAGAATATAGTGTGCAATTATTATTTGGAATCCGAAAGAATATAGTGTGCAATTATTATTTGGAATCCGAAAGAATATAGTGTGCAATTATTATTTGGAATCCGAAAGAATATAGTGTGCAATTATTATTTGGAATCCGAAAGAATCTATAGATAATACGGCAAAATAGTTAACATTAACATTATCATTGAATATTGATCGGGTGCGTTGGTCCCTTGTGCCCCATTTTTCACTCACACTTCTCATGGTATAGATATGCACCTCGTACTAAAAGTGTTCAGGATATATGTCTTTTTTAAACGTTTATTAACTCATTGACACTTGAAAACTTGTTTACTTTTTGAAACTTAATGTATGCTTATCGATACATTGGCGTGCATGAATATGTCATGCGAAGCATTAATGACATATATCGTAATAATCAAATATCATGTTTACATAATAACAATTTAGCTAACACATTTATTTAATAATTTGTCCTACTCATGAAAATAAGTGACGATTTACTTACCTTAAATCCATAAAAATACACTTTTAGAATTGCAAATGGAGATGCTCTTAGTCACGCACGAGGTCATTACAGTTTATTTAGAAGCTTTAACAAAATTCATATCTATATGAGAACACATTGCGTTGCTCTATTAAATTAATTAATTTATTATTGTTAGAAAATTCTATTTATAAATAAAACTGTTAAGTTTGAAAATAAGAACGTAAAATCCACTATTAAATCATCAACTCAATTTGATAGAATGTCACTTTTTCACATTCTCTTTTTGTCAAACACTTTGCATGTATCATTTTAATTTATTCAAAAATAATTTTTTAGATGTATTGACACAATTCATTTCATTTCAAATTCAACAATGTTATTTTTAAACATGTTTCCAATCACAATAACAAAATTATAAAAAAAAAATCAAAAATGTTAATTATTTATATTATAAGGTTTATACTAAACCTAGAATATGTAAGTGAGAGATTATTCAGCTGAAAATTGATAATTATGGTTGTTTAATGATACATGCAAAGAGAATATTAAACAATTTTAAAATGAAAAAATTGAAGAACCAATTATACAAGGAGTCCAAAACATAAAATAACGTGTAATTTTGTTTGTGTTTTCGTGAAAGATTTTCTTAACTTTTTTCTAGAGCTTTCAATGTTTTGTCAAAGATTTCCTCAATTAATTACACACATCCATAGAACTTTTTCCAAAGATTAGAAGAATGAACAAATTTTGTTTCTGTATTTGTGGAAAATTTCATCTTTTTCCTTCCAATTTTCCTTTGATTTTTGTATATTAGAGTGCGTTTGATTGGTATGGAAAATATCACATAGAAAAGAAAATGATTTCCATCTTTTGTGGAAAATAAAAACCACCTCTATCCAAGGAAAATGTTTTCCTTAAAAACAAGGAAAATTAGGCATATTTTCAAAAGTTGAAAAATATTTTCCATGGAAAAAATAACAATCAAACACTCCAAACAGGAATTTGGGTGAAAAACTGATATTTTCCATGGAAAATAAATGTAATCAACACACCCTTAGAGGCTGATTTTTGAGAATTGTCGTGATTTTAGGTTTTGAGCATATATTTTACATTCAATTTTAACTAATTACAATTTAATCCAAGTTCATCATTTTTTTAAAACTGCCCCAAAATATAGGGTACTTGTGTAAGTACCCCCTACTTAATTCTTTATTAGATCATTTTAATTTTTGGTTTAATTTTAAGGTAATCTTTATACATAATTAATTAAATGTGTAGACTCACATGAAAAATTAATAATTTTCCAACATGTATGTATCTGATGACAAAGTGGACAACATTTGTTCATATCATGGACTCATGTGATCCATTATGAAAGTATGTGGATGTGTGCAAAAAAAAAAAAGAATTGGGATCCAAGTGCCAAGTATCAATGTTTGGAGGCCTTAGGTGCAAATTTCTCCTTCGAAAAATGGAGCGTGTAATTCATGCTTTGTACTGACGTTTCACTAGGGTTTCAGAAAACGCATAATGGATGAAGATAAGTTATCCCACCACCTTGCTGCCTTGCTGGCGCAATATGATTGGTTTTCTCTCTCCTCTCTCTACGATGCACACATGTATATGTTTGTACGTATATAAATGTATAAATACACAATGTATGTCTCAACATTACGCACTCTCTTTCTCTCTCATACTTTGCTTTCTCTTTTTAAAACATTTCCCTCTCTCTATCTCTCTAAAAAATTTCAAACCTAAAAAAATCCTAGGGTTCTCTATCCTTTCGCACTCGAATTCCTCACAGAGACCTTTGGATCTCTTCAAGAAAATCATATGTATGGATTCTCCAGTTTCTTCTCTATTAAATGAGATCCAAATTTCAGTCAGCCGTTGAGGGATTTATCTGGGTCGATTAGTGGAGTTTTGATCTTGTTTTACCATTCCAACAAAAGGTTTGTTTTTTTCTCATCTTTTCACTGTTAATTTTGTTTATATGTTTTTAGGTATAGTTATTTTTTTCCCATGTTGATTTTTGTTGGGTTTTAGCTGAATTTGAGCTCTATTTTATTTCCCTTAAATATCTGTTTCTGTTAAAGTGAATTTATTTCTATTTATTCTGTTGGACCATTTAATTTTGTTTTTGTCCTTTTTGGGTTTGATTTCATGTATTTGTCTTATCATTTTATGGTACTTTTTATTATATCTGAACTGGGTCGCGTCCATCGGAGTAATCAAAACCGTTAATATATAAACCCTAATTACGTTAGTGGAATTCATTCCTAAGATTAATCCATGTGGCTTTTTGTTTTTGCAGTTATAATTGAAATTCTAATATGGGGTTTGAGTTAATTTTCGACTTGTTGATGAATCTTTATAATATTACTTATGAAAAATAAGATTAGAATTTTTCATTCAGAGGAAACCCTAAAATTGAATTTCGTTAATCATTTTGCTGTCTATGTTATGCGTTTAGCTATTTGTGGATTGTATTATGTGCAGAATTCGAAGAATTTTGAATTGGATACTGCCTCATCCATGTTGTCACTGTGGACTAGGGTTTCTAAGATGTTTACACTTCCAGCTGCCACGTTTTACTGTCGTTTATTCTTAAATTGTCTGTCTATCTCTTGTATTTCACTATACAATATTGCAACTACTTGACTTAGTCTGCGATGAATCATGCATTTATAATGGCTTGAATTCACATTCTTTCTTGGATTGGATAGTAACACACTTCCATTACCGTCATAGCATGTTTTGTAGAAACAAATGCACAGGACTGGACACTACTTCCAAAAAAAAAAAAAAAATGTTTGTTCATCATACAAACCAGTTTTTCAAATACTGTGTTTCAAACATGCACTTGTGTGAACTTTCATTATGCTTCGAACTTTGAGGTTTATCACCATTAAACTTTGGTATGGGTTCATGTACCTAATTAGACGATGCATGCCTATTACTCATCCAGTGGTTTTAGGCTTTTGCTTTTGAAATGGAGAAGAGTATTGTGGAAATGGAAGTAAATCATCAAAAAAGTGATTCTGCTGTATCTACACCAAGGCCCCTAGGAATGCTCATTGGGATAAACTCAATTGCTATAGATCTCGGAATGGTTGCAGAAGAAGATACACAAGAGCACAAACACTTCTCCTTACGGTAAGCTTTTGTTAGAAGACTTTGCCAGCTTGTTTCACTTGTTGAATTCTGTCATCCTCAAGGGCTTTCCTTGATAAGAGTATTTGTCTTTTTTCTCTACTTGTTGTATGGCTTTGAGCATGCATCAATGTATTTCATGTGCATTTATGCTTGCTTACGTGTATGATCCCCATTAATTTTAGATTTAAGATATGACAATGAACATACAAACACAGAAAAGTCAGATGATGATAATGCATTTCATTTCACATGGGTTCCTTATGTTGAATGTTTGAGGACAATATTTTATATATAAGCAGTTTTAGTGAGAATGTTTACTGCATATATAGCCTAATATTAAAGCTAGCTAGTTTTTGCTGAAATTGATTGTTATTCTTATTAGAAATAATGGATATAGGCATAGCGATGTTGCATAATTCTTCAATACCTTTTTCATATTGTAAGAAGACATGATTACATCAAGGTTCATTGATAATTTATGTACACATGAAAGTTACCTAGAAACTTACAATTGTAAACCTTTCTGAATTTCTACTGCGAATGCAGTGGATATGTGGCTGGCATGAGGAAAAAGGATCAAAAGCTTTGTTTGCCTTTTGCTTCACAAGCTAACGGTGGTGATTTGGAAGAGAAACTCCCTCCATTATGTGTCCCCAGATTTAGATGGTGGGAGTGCTTGAACTGTGTTTCAGAATTTATGATGGAAAGTAGTATGGAAGAAATGATGGAACAATCTCCAATACCATTAAGCGAAGAAAAAAATAATATTGATACAAATTCTTCTAGCAGGGATGGGGAAAAAGGTATATTTTTTCCATCGAGATGCAATCTAACAAGAAATGCTGAATCTGGTGATCAAGCTGTTGCTTGTACATACATAAGCAGAATCTCACTAAAACTAATGCATTAACCAGGCATAAGTTTGGCTTACCTATTTGATGTCTCTTTATTGTACATATCCTGACTACTTTTGCAGGTGAGGAGCATGGATTAGATGGCTTTGGAAATAGCAGAAACTGCAGTCATGTAAATGATATCCCAAACTTCAATCCATGCTTGCCAGCGAGACATATGGCTACAACATGTGAGTTTGTGATTATTCAAAGCATTGCTAAAAGACTTCCATTGTGGAATTACAAACTCAGGATATTGATGTCTTTCTTCTGAATATGGTAGTGGGTTTAGCTCGAATATTTTCCACATGTTCCTAGTGTAATATCATATGTCTGCGCAGGCAGCAAAAGTGGAGCAAATGTTATGGATAAAGAAGGTTGCAACCTGAGTTTTGATAAAACAGAACCTAATCCTTGCCAAGCTCAAGAGACACATACAAATACAGCTGGTAATTTGACAGCATCAACAAAATTCTTTAAAAATGCTTATTTTTCACTGTTGTTCCAATTATAAAAAAAAAGTAATTTTTTCATTATTTATTACAGATGCTATAAAACCTAGATATGTTGATGTCTTAGAGACGAACAATTTAATAAATGATATTGGTGATATCAGTGATAAGGCCGTAAATGCTGATACAGGACACCCAATTGGACTCCCTTCAGTTGAAGTGGGTGAGCAGGAAAGTGCATCATCTGGAAGTGATAATAAATTAGATGGATTGCCACGTAAGAGAAAGCCTAAGTTGCGTTATCTTGCAGAAATAATGGATGGAGAAAGAATTTCTGTAAATGGTCACCCGAACATGAGTGCTTCATCCCGCGGAATGCATACTGTATCTGTTGAGTTAGGAACAGTTTCATCTCCTCATGACCAGGAGGATTTCCTTGAACGTGTTGGAAAAGGTATCAGAACTGCTCAGATGAAAAGAAAGATTACTCGGGAAGAAAACAAAAGACCCACAGAAATTAGCTATCCAAGTAGTTCAGCTAAAAAGTTCAGGGCCTCTAAAGTAAATTCAGAGGACAGATCTCTTGAAATTTCTGACTCACAATCAGGAGGAGGTGCATCTGCACAGTTAGATATGCAGATTGGCATAAAGAGTCGAAAGATCAAGCCGGGCAAAAACAAAGATCTTGTTCTTGGTAAAAGGAAAAGTCAGATCCCTATAGATGAGGGGTTGCCTCTCCCAGTTCGTGAGCTGGAGATGCCAAAGATAATTTCTGTAGTCTCTACAGATTTGCCGAAATATAATATTCCTAGCCCATCAGGACAAATGGAACCAACTTTTAGGAGTTCCCAGTCTACCAAACAAACAGTGTTGAACTCCAACTTGTCCAAGAATAAGAGGTCTGAACTTGAAGCTGGTCACAATCTTCTGATGGCTCCCAAAAACAGCAAGTTAGGAGAATGTTTAGTTAAAGAGAAAGTGGCATTGGATCTTTCTCTTGACAGCTTTATGAGTGCAGAAAGAAATGATAATGATCGGTCATCAATCGTGCAACAAAAGGACATTCATGATAAGGGGAGTAAAGATTTTCTGTGGGATCTGAATGAGATAATTACTCATAAAACTCCTATTCTGGGAGAGAAGCAATTTTCAACTGTACTTGGTAATGGTTGTTTACCTCTGCATGAGAATTTGGTAAGCAACTTTCTCTTTAACATACTATTCCTGATTTACCTAGTTGCTAGTTTATGTTTTAACTTTTCAATATTGTCCTGAAAGAAGCAGAAGGAGCCGAATTCATTATTTCTGGTTGTTTTAGTGGTACAGATGATGGCAGTATCTCTTTTCTGTTTAAGCTGATGTATGAAACAAATGTAAACTTTGAAGACCATTTCATTGAGGACTTTTTGATGATTCCAGTATTACATTAGGAATTGCAATATATTTGGCTGCATTATCAGGATTCATTTGACAGTAACTTGAAGATATCACATATTCTTGAGTTTCCTATACCAGTTTCATACTTGATTTATGTGATTAGGATTAATTTTATAACAAATTTCACTCCTATTGACAGGAAATCAAAACTTATTGTTTTCCTAAATAGTGCAAACTAGAATCCTAAGTATTCGAACTTTTTTTTTCCAGGATATCTCTTCCTCCTGCAGCAAAGCTAATGCTGGAGAATCGCAAGGGCGTCTGGGAGTTTCTGTTCCACAAACTGACCAAGAAACTGATAAGAGTACTGAACTTAGAGCATCAGATGACATCCCGATGGACATAGTTGAGCTGATGGCTAAAAACCAGCATGAAAGGTCTCTAGGTAATTCAAAGAAGTACATTGTACCCGAGGGGACCAATAAACCCAGTATAGGGTTTCCTACCTTCAATGGCAATGAATATGCTGGTGCAGTGAATTATTCGCTCGGCAGCACAAGAAGCGATGACATAGTTTTGGCGAGTGATAACATTGTACCTATCCAGGACAGTCCTATAAGCTTTCCTCTCTTGAACACGAATCAGTTTGATGTGGGAGAACCAAAGGAAAACCAATCAAGATTCTTCTGTTCATTTCCACAGAATCAACCAAGTAAAATGCAGATTTCAGCTTCAGGCTCCAACATAACGGGATCAAGGCTCAGCGAAGGAGCAAAGAAAATGTTGTCTCCTAGGAGGGAAAGCATACCTACAAGGATGCATTCATTCTTAGACCAGCACCATAAAGGAATGACCATTAGTGACATAAAAGGAGGTAATATGGAAAATCTAGCTCTACGTGACACACTATTACTTGAACAGGGGATAATTGATCAGAGCCAGAAATCCATGGGGTCATTAGATCCTTACTCTAATGACACAATTCCTGCAATGCAATTGCTGTCTTTGATGGATCGGGGAATGATATCCAGTTCTTTAAATGTGGGCACAAAGAAATTTGTCGATAAACCCTTTTCTCCCTGCAATCACCACCCAAGGTTCAACAGGGAAAAGAATCAGAGTTTACTCAACCAATCACTCTTTTCACAGCAACATCATTCTAAGGATCTTATTTGGTTACGATCCAGTGTTCGTAGTGCTGGTGAAAGCTCAAAGACGCCTGCATCTTCTTTGAATTGTAAGCGATCTACTTTTCTATAATTTTCATTTGTGTTTTGCCTACTATTGATTAATTATTATTGGAGAAGTAGGGAAAGATGAAAATTTGAAGTGAGAATGGAAGTTTTTTTTAATCCATAAATCAGTGTATTTTTACAGTAGTTTGGATTCATCTGTTACATATATCTATGGAAAAAACTAATGAGATCACTAAACTAATAAGGAGAAAAAAAACATATGTTTGAGGTTGGATATAAGATTAGACTAATCATTTATATTTTATAATTTTCTGCTCTACTTCATTGAGATATTTCTGAAAAGGCTACCTGGTTTTGTAGATCAAATGTCCACTAAACGTCTGGAGCTACAAAACTCAAGAAGACCACAAAAATTGGAATCCTCGAAAGGCACTTCGCGTGTTATTCGAGATTCTTGTGTTGGCATGGATAAGCAAAAAAATATCCTTGGTGACTCAAGTCCTATGGTTTTTCCTCAACAATCTTATAGACGTGAAGGTCCATCAGGCACCATGAACTTGGAGGCCCCCATTAAACTTTCTACTCAACCAATGAGAAGCAATTCAGAAATGGATCTTTGCACTCTCAACCAAAACCCTGCTGAATTCAGTATTCCAGATCCTCAAAACAAGTATACCATAGGAGCAAAAGATTTGAAGTTGCGAAAGAGAAATGTTTACAAAGAAATACCTCGCTCTGTTAAGGTGAATGAGCAAAAGAGACGCAGGGTTACAAAGGATACATCAGCGAAAAAGTATGCAAGAAAATAGCTCATTCTGAGGTACACGTACATATCAGTTGAAGAGTTTCTGCATGTTTCTTGAAGTTCCTAATCTACAATTTGGACAGAATTTCCTGTGTGATTTTGTTTGTCTGGTTTTCAGCTTTATAATTTTCAGATTTCTATCTGAATAGAAAATAAGAATATTTATACAATTACATGCATGTCAAGACAGGTAAAGTCAATTAGCTTATATGCCTACAAATATGTGGTTGATTTTGGATCATGAGTATAAGATCTTTGTCGCAATGAATGACTTGGTATAATTTCAAATGGATGCTGTATTTTCTTTTATTAGCAGCATACTCGTTTAGGGGGACGTGATGCTTCTTCGGACACATGAGCATGAGAAAACCAGCGAGTAAACAAGTGTTGAACAATGTGTTACTATTTTTCCGTGTTAGAATTAAGTAAATTATTATTACTATTATTATTTTTGACAAAATTATTTTGAAAAAAAAGCAACCTTTTTAAGTTTCAACCACGAAACAAGTGAACCTAACATCAGCATCATTTGAGCTCCTCAAAAGCTGTGAACAATCAACCCATCCAAGGCCACGATAACTTGACGATAATTAACGCAAAATGAAAAATTCATTTAATTGATTTGTGTTTACAATGATTTGAATTTTTCGAAAATAAAAACTTAATAAGGGTATTATTATTTTATATAACCAAAGCGAGAAATTAACAAATAGAATATGTTGCTAAATGCAACAGAGTTCGAAACTTAAAGGGTATATTTTGTTTAGATATTAAGGAGAAAGCATCTCATCAACACTTATCTTGTAAATGTAAAAAGTTATTTACGATAGCTGTCTTGAGTAACCTAACTTTCACGATAACATTTTATTTCATTATAAATAATTTCGCTTAAACGAAAAGTAATATCAAGATAAGTAAAAGAAAATTTTATAAGATCATAGAATTATTCTTTCTTGAAAAGTGTTAGTCAATGCTAATCATTTTGGACATCAGCCATGAATTTTGTTACGTCAACCAGACATATGATCGACCATGAAGTACCAAAAATCAGGAGTGAAGAAGATAACAAGGATGGGGAATGAAAGTTTCCCCATATTTGAACTGCATAAATTGATCTAAAACTGATAAAATGAAAAGAACAAAAATCATCACAAATTTTCTGCTAAGTATTTATGAGAAGATCCAAATCCAAGAACTTGCTGTCATTGCACGGAATTCCAAGGATCTCATCATGGCACGTCACCTCATCTTCATCAGCATATGTCTCAAAGGAGAGGAGGTGTGTGGTGGGCCACCCGCCAAGGTGGCACATCTTAATAGGATGGTCGCACCACGTGGCAGTACGACTGTCCTACCGACGTTTCTCTCCTCAAAGGATACTAACTGAAAGTTCTGGTCGGGGCACAACTTTTTCTTAATGGCTTGTTTGGTAAGGGAAATTATTCAGTACCACCCAGCATTGAAAGAAATAAAGTGTGTGTACGGTATACATTCTTGTCCAATATTATTATACCAGAAGATATTGGTGACATAAGGCGAGCTGCATCTATTGGACAACACTAATGAAGAAAAAAAAGCAATTTTGCCGAGTATGGTTAGCCGCAAGGATATTACGGGACATCTTTCCCTGATGTAATGGTACCTTATTTGTTGTTTGACACGTGATTAATACTTGTTGTTTCGTGATTTCATTTTTAATAATATACTTATATGCCGGTGAAAGTGGTTAATCAAATGGAATTGCAAAAATAATTATGTAATTAATCTCAAATTTAAATAAATATGTTTTTGAAATGTGAATGTATTCACTTCTACTTTGACACATTTTCTGCTCTTCTATTCTTTATGACATTATATTCAGGAATAACATTTTTGGATCATATTTTTCTGTAATTTTTATTGTGCTACTTAGATTAATGTGGATGATATAATTTTAATTTTGAAAATTTCATCGAGGTTAATCAGTTTCTATTTTTAGTTTCAATATTAGGTTTTAAAAACATATCAAGGACATTTATTCAATCACAAACTGGTGCTTGGCTTTTATATTTCGTATTAATACATTCTATTTTCAAAATACATTTTTAAGTGGTAATTGTTTTCCTCTTACTTTTCTCTTTGTTGCATCAAGCAAAGAGAGAGCCCTTTCTACGAGACACAAATAGGAAAAACTAGTATAATAATTCGATACATACTTGAATAATTAAATATAAAGGACGCATCTTTCTTTTGATATAACTAGAGTAATATAGAAAATGTGAAGAAGTTCAAGTCTAAAGTATTCCGTGAAAGAGTTTTGTAACAATGAACTTTCTATGTCATTTTTAAGATCATATTTATCTAATTATACAAGGACAAACTTGTAACTTAAGTCAACCACGCCATGTGTACAGAGTAGGATGTCACAGGCTCGATACAGTCAAGACACAGAAGATGGGATGAGTGATTCATTTTTGAAAATGCCCAGCGCCATGTGAGGGTTTGTAAAGACCCTATGAAATCATTCCTTGTACGCTGGGAATTATTCAACTTAAATCATCAAAAAGTACAAGTAACAGAAGAAACAATGAAGAATATAACAAATATGGTAATAAACATCACATCAAAACGTAATTTAATCAATGAAACTGTCAAAGCTTCTGTCTCTAAATTCAATGAATAAACTTGTCAAACACTAGAAGTTTTCCTATAAAAACAAAATCCTAAACCATTCTAGTTCTCTAAATTCAAAGAATAAAACTTTCAAAATATATAAAATCAAAATCCAAAACCACTATGCTAGTTAGAAAGATGAGGTGACGAATTGTTATACTCACCAGAAATTTTTTTCTCTTCCTCGAGCCAATATTCCCATGCGTCATCACCTTCAATGGGCGGAACTTCAGGGAGATTCTCATCTAGTACCGTTGGCATGATTTCCAAATGATCTGGGATTGTGCCGAAATTTGTTGTAAATGAATTATATAGTGATTCTACAGGATCTGGAGCAGCATAACTGAATGTAGCAACATTGTCACTGGTTGTGACATAATTCCCCATTAACCGAAGATCTTGTGTCCTATACGGCATTTGCAGCATCGTATTAATCAGAGTTGCTTCATTCGCGCTGCAGCTAGCGCCGTAATTTTCAATAAATGGAAGATTTGGCTGCCATGAGGACACTGGTGGCATCATGGTGTTCCAGATATTATATTCCTATCGATCGCTATGCCACTTCCAATTGAAGGAAAATTTTGCAGCCTCATTTGAGCTGCTGCACCTGCAATCTGATCGAGAAGAATGGAGTTATTATAAGTTAAACCGTACCTTATAAAAAATTTAAACTATTAGAGAAGAGATATATTTATTTATTTAACTTTAGGCTTCAAGTATTTACCGAGATTCTGAATTGTCTCGTGTGGTTGTTCCCATTGCCCTCATTGTTGCCTTTGGAGGAATTCGCAACGTTCTCCATCTTATTCAAACCCAAAGAATTTTCTACTTCAATCGAGGAGTCTCCGACTGGTGTATCTTTATTTTCTTCCTCAGCGTTGTTACCATCACTTCGTTGATTCCTATTGTTGTTGGGTTTGTGCACCTTCTTGTAGATCTTACATAAAATCCAATCATCCAACTACGAGAAAAGAAATCGCCAAATAAAATGAAGTAAAGAAGCACGAACATCACCCCAAGTAAATAAATTAATGTGCCAGACCCGTTGTGGAACTCGTGACATGAAAAAGAATGAATAATAATATCTAGCATCAGTGGTGTTGAATATCAATCAAGTTAGGATTATTGAGTAAGTCTAATTAATATTTCATTAAATTTTACTTCAATTATAAGTATTCTGTAATGTCAACTGGATCAATATTTTAATATCAATAATGTTAAATAGCATTACTCAAAAGAATTTTGCTACTTTGCCCGAATTTTTTACCTGAATGGTTGACATCCTTTCAAATGTCGTGGGTCCCACATGAATAAAAAAGTCCACAAAAAAAGTGGGGCCTCCATAATTGTGAAAGTCGGTCATCCTCCCTGTCAAAAAAATTTGATCACTATAACGGGATTGTACTCAAAATGGAAGTGAGCCATTCAAAATTTACAACTTCTGTGTCTTCAGTTGCTGCTACACTTCAAAACAGTGATTTTGAAAATGTTCATCAAAGATGAACAATTTCCATTACATGAACTCATTGGAACTAGAACATGTTTGGTTGTACTTAAAATTTACCTTTCCCAAACATGTCGAGAATATAAGCAACGTAAAAGTACAGCCAAACATGCCTGCCTTAGATATAAAGGAAACTGTATATACAGAATCTATGGAAACAAAGAAAATTAATTTATCTCCTATATACTAGTTTAATTCGAAACAAATAAATTCAAATTTTAATTAGTTCATTTTTCTGGATTCATACTGATACGAACAGATATACATAAAAGAAAAAGAAAAAAAAAAAATTGTACCTTCATGTCATCATCGCTGGTCCGTGATCGAATCGGGGCATTTTTGAGTCGAAATTCATGCATAATCCAAGAAGTTTTTTCACAATGAGGAGGTTTTCCCTTGTAGAAAACCAATGCCTTTCGCAATCCAATTTCTTCACCGTTGTGTTTGATAGTTTTGTCAGCTCCAGTGGTCTTCCAATAGCCTCCTTCAGCAGCTCGATTTGGCCGCATCCCATGTTTGTACTTTCTGTTCCTTAGTGTGAAGAAGAAGTGAAGAGCCATCCATTTTCTTGACTACTTGCCCTGTAATTATCTGTCAAAAAATCAATTTAAAAGTTTAGAAAATTAACTTATACTTTTTATATTATTTTGAGAATATATCATTACATTATTCTTTTCAATAAGCGACATGCAAGTTTTATATCCATAGACGAGAGGGATTTTCTAACTAGTCATTTTTATTTATCTTTTTTTACAAAATAAATTTGTCTCTTCAATAAAATTTTATTAAATATGATCATTCAGTCGTGTAAAATGATTGTAGTGCCTTTTTATTAAAATTTCCCTAGGCAATCTCGTAAAGTTAACCAAGAAGAAATGGAATAAAAATTTTCATCATGTGAAGGATTAATCCATTTGTATAGAAGAAAGTTTCACAGAAGATTGACAGAATACTCTCATGATACAGGCCCTACTGTGAAAAAAATTGTCAGAAAATATCCTACCCACCTCCCTATGTGTGTGTTCTGGCAGGCTTCTATGAAGAAGCATTCTGTATATCCAGCAAAACCCTATCCCAAAATAATTCAAATTTTGTAATAAAATAAGAGAGTGTGTAAACTATTTAAAAAAATTCGAGGATATCTAGACGGTTCGAATTTCATTCAAAATGAATAGTAAAATTGTAATCAACTTTGCCACGTTTAACAAGGATGCCTAAATTTTTCAAAAATTGTGCAAAAAGAAAGAGAGAATGTTAGCAACAATTTTGAAGAGTAAAGTTTATATTTTTTCCGGATATTTGAAAAATAAAACATTAATTTCAGTTTCTCACTCTAAAAGTGTCCTACAAATGTTTTTTTTTCTTTAGACAGACTCAACTAATATTTGCGACTTCGTAAATGTTCTGTCTAATGGGGCAAAAGAAAAATATCAAAAGATTAAATAAAAATAATCACTAATAAAACTCTACGAGAGCACATGATCCGGTTCACCAATTTTAAACAGTTTAAAACCGTTTGAATAAAATTACAAATCAATCCAAATCGTTTTATTTTTCAAAGCTCACCGCTTTCGACGATTCATTTGGTGTCAAACAATGATTTACCAAGTAAAATCAAAATAGCACTTCTCAAATAAGTTAAAACTTGATTCAATATAATATTTTCATTGTTATAAACATAAATGTTATAACGCTAAAATATTACAAAGTTTCAACGAATATAATACTCCTATAATATTCCTCATCGCTTAACATTGACAAATTGACATTGCTATTCCAAGGTACGTAAACATCATTGACAATGGGGACGGGGACCGAGACGTGACTCGGGTTAGTTACGATATTTTTGGGGACAGAGACTTGATTCGAAGTGGTTACAACATTGTTGTGGACGGAGACATGATTCAGGGAACTAGTTACAATATTGTTGGGGACAGAGATGTGATTCAAGGTTGTTACAACGTTGTTATTGATGGAGACGTGATTCGAGGTTGTTATGACATTGTTGTGGATGGAGACGTGATCCAGGGTACTAGTTACAATATTGTTAGGGACAAAGACTTGATTCAAGGTGATTAGGACATTGTTGAGGACAGAGACGTGACTCGTGTTAGTTATAACATTGTTGGGGACAGAGACGTGACTCGAGTAGGCTACAACATTGCTTTGTTGGTTCTTCATAGCCATATTCTAAATTCAGAAAAGCTTGAGGGTAAAAAATTTTCAAATTGAAGTAATGGGCGCACCCCCCACCCCCTTTTTTCCTCTGTCTACACTTTTTGGATTCATCTTGAACTTTCGGCGTATTTCTTGTATACACACGCTTTTAGACTTTATTTTCTCCTAAACATACGTATTTGGCAGGATTTTCTGGTACACATGCCCTTTTGGATAATATTCCCCTATACAAGGTAGATGCCGTGTCTTATACACACATCCGCTTATCTCATATTTGTCGGAAAAAATTCAACATATTGGGCCACACATGTATATCTATTAAAATTTGTGGTGCCCCAATCGTACGTGATTTCATGTTTCTCTGCATCCCGATCAACATAGAAGAATTTTCAAGGAATTACGTATCTATTGAAAGAGCATAACCCGTTCAATACACTTGCATCTATGGATCAAGGTACGCTTTCTCTTATAATCTTCTCTTTGATTTCAACATGGAGGATTTATATAAATTTGTGAAAGGGTTTGATAAACCTTTGGTTACTTTCAATTCCTACAAATGGTATTAGAGCACTTCATTGTTGATCCTTTGAGAAATTAAGGTTTTAACAATTGTGACTTTTGGGTTATTTGATTGTCCACCATGTTATTGTATGGAATTTAGTTTTTGCAATAATTTCAAATTTTAAGATTTGACAATTTGGGATATGTTTTTGTTGAATTTGAAAATTCGGCATGTTGTTCATGATTATTTTTTGAGATTTGGATTAAGAATTTATGGAATTTCGGTTTATGAATTTTTTGGGTTTCAAAAAGAAAAATTGAAAAACCCGGATTTGGTCGGAGGTGTTGCAGTGAGGCGCTGTTGCTTGCTACAACGCTTGGTGCAATGTAGGAGGCGACGGGGCAAGTTTCACTGTTTTGGGCGGCGTCGGCCACCAACGCTATTAGGGAGAAAGAGAGAGAGAGAAATTTTCTAGGATTTTTTAGATTTGGATAATATAGGGGGCGGGGGCCACACGTGCAAATTGGATAACTTGAGGCTGCTTCTTACAATTTCACGTTATGGTTAAAATTTAAAGTTCCATTTCCTGATGTCTAAAGTTCATCTAAGTTGGACCTTTAAAGTTATGGGTTTAATAATTCAGTCTCTGAAGTTTGAAAATTATTTAATTTAGGCCATTAAAGTTCTAAATTTTACAATTAAAGCCCTCAATGTTTAAAATTAATTAAAATTGACCCCCAAAGTTTTAAAATTTTCAATTTTTTTACCTCTAAAGTTTTGAATTATTAACCTTTAGATCCCTAAAGTTTCAAAGTCATCTAATGATACAAAATTGGTGATTCTCTTTCTCAAATATTGGTACTAAGGACTCTTTTGAGAGGATAATTGAGATTAAATATGTGGGACAATCAAATTTAAATATTTTGGTAAATCATCCATGATAAATTAAGATTGTCTAACATTTTAAATAAACTAAGTGAAACAATATGTCACCAAAGTGACATCTCTTGTGTAGATTGATTTGTTTGTGATATTTAGATGTTGTATGTGCTTGTTCATGCGGGTATTAGCCGATCCAAATGAAGGTTAATATTTGGTCGAATTACATACACACCAGTGGTGGTGAATGTGTGACAATTATAAGGTTTCCATGTGAATAATAAATGAATCCAAAGAAGAGTTTATTATGTTGACAGGAGTTATTGTCAATGTTTGATCACTACATTGAGAGTACTACTTGCAATTAATATTATTGTCCAAAAACTTGATATTAATGTTGCGCTAGGTATTTTGAGATAAGGCTTACCATTATTTGAATTTATTGATCATCAAATGCGGATATGAGCATGATTTTTTTTTTCTATACAGCGACTTCATTTGATACTAGTATATCTGTCAATATTAATTCTATTCTCATGCTTAATAGGACAAACTTCAAGGATTGGAAGGAAAATATTTTGATTGTTCTTGGCTGCATGGATCTTGATCTTGCACTCCGAATTAAGGAACCCACTCCTTTTGCGAAAGGAAGTTCAACTGATGAAAGAGGAAGTTTGAAAAGTGGGATATCTTAAATTTCATGAGTCTAATGATCATTAAGCGCGGCATTCCAAAAGCCTTTAAAGGTGTAGTATTTGAAGGGGTAACTAATGCCAACATGGAATTAGTTAATAAAAATTATTAACTAATTACGTTATTCAAAATGTAAAGACGTTTTGCTCAATCATAATGAAAGGCAGGAAAGTTTTGTGTTAATTACCCCTTAATTTTGTATATTGAACCGTATCAACCAAATAAAATTAGTTTGCGAGTATAATTCGGTTTTCTGAAATAAAATTGCTACAAGTCGTAATTTTTGCCGAAAGCTATCAATTGGACTGTGCATGTAAAACGGTCCATTATTTGGGCCAACCAATGAATAATAGCTCCTTATTGGGCTTACTAGCCTTGTCTACAGAAAACATGGGCCCATATAAAGTCGCTCCTTTTACTTGAAAACGAGTTATCCACAGGAGCACGCTTTTAGTTCAAATTGAAACTGTGGTTTCCCGTCATGTTTCTTAAGAATCATCTCAAATTTCGGTGGGGTGATCGTTTTTTTTTTTTATTTTTTTATTTTTTTTCATATGGGACCCACACCCATCTGAGTGTTCTATATTACTTCTGTGAAACCATTTCAGTTCAAATGGAAAAGCTGCGGTATTTATGAGAAGATCCAAATCCAAGAACTTGCTGTCAATGCACGGAATTCCAAGGATCGTCGACTCATCTCATATTCATCAGCATATGTCTCAAAGGATACTGGAGGAATGTTCTGGTCGAGGCACAACTTCTTCTTAATGGCTTGTTTGGCAAGGGAAATTACCACATACAATTGAGAGAAAATAAACTCTGTGTGTACGGTAGTATACATTCTTATCCAACATTATTATCCCAGCAGATACTGGTGACATCTTGATAAAGCGAGGCCTGCATGTACTGGACAACACTAATGAAGAAAAAGAAGCAATTTTGCCGTGTATGGTTAGCCGCAAGGATATTACTGGACATCGTTTCCTGATGTAATGTTACCTTATTTGTTGTTTACAGGAATCTATGCCATTGATCGAAATTTGAAACTTCATGATTTTAATCGTTGTTTGACTCGTGATTGATACTTGCTGTTTAGTGATTTCATTTTTAATAATATAATTATATGCAAGTGAAAATGGTTTATCAAATGGAATTGCAAAAATAATTATGCAATTAATCTCAAATTTAAATAAATATGTTTTTGAAATGCGACTGTATTCACTTCTACTTTGAATCATTTTCTGCTCTTCTATTCTTTATAGGACATTATATTCACCAAACACTTTTGGATCATATTTTTCTGTAATT